GATGCCCACTTGATGCACTCGCGCCCATTTTGCAGTCGTCCTAATAAGCGTAAATTTCACAATTATACCTCAACATATATCAATTTCTTCACCTTGATCTTCCCTCGAAATTATTATTTTTTAAATCATGAAGTAGCAAGTATTCGCAGCAGGAGTATTCCTCCTCCTGTTGGAGGGGACTAAGGGAAACTTTGAGCCTAATTGTTGCGGGAAACAGGTGATCGTTCATCTATTTGAATGGAAATGGACGAGCAACGCCGAGGAATGCGAGCGGTTTCTCGGCCCTGCTGGCTTCTGCAGCGTGTAGGTAAAATCATATGCATATACAAGAGACTTTAAGGACTTATGATACCCATATGATAACGTACTAGCGAGATTGTTCGGGCAAATAAACTCGATATGGTCGCGCCTTCGACACTGCATTGTCCAAGAGATTCATGCATTAATTCATTTGGAGGTGGCAAATTTTCGAAGTGCAAAAAACGCATTAAAAGCATGTCCCAGTTGAAATATGTGCCATGAGGTGACGAACCAATATTTTCATGGAAATAAATACTCTGATGATTTCTTGTGTGGATAACTTTTAATCTGTCTTTAACCTGCACTGAGGAGACATACTTAATAAGTAGGACATGCACTCAGCAATCGAACAGGTACTTCTGCGCCAATTTTCAACTTTCTGCAGATCTCTCTTTCATTGTGTCAAAACATTTTCCGGAAAGTGCGCCTCTTGCAAGAAGAAAGCGCTCACATGGCCCAATTATTATTTGCAATTACAAAATATTTTTTTTTTTTACTGAAAGCAGTACTTGGAGAACTTCGTGCCTTCTAAGTTTCACCCTTATCCGTTTGCCCTCTTCGATGGTGCAAAAATATACAGGGTGCCCAGTAGAAAATCAAATGATTACAAATATCACGCCTTTAACAACGAAATGATGTTTTCCATCGACAAGTATGCATCTATATTTATGCTGCTTGATTGCGATTTGTTTTTTTGTGTATCAATTTTCAGATTTCTAACTTCTCTTGAACATGGTTACAATTAGCGTCAGTCAGTCACTCAGTTTCTCAGTCACGATCGACTATACCTAGGTATATGTTAGATTCATAATTTTTGTGTGGGGTTGGAATGAGACGAGTATGGTTGCACCGAATAGGCGTGGCCGCCACAAAAGCACGTGATCATGACGGCGACTGCGATGCGCCCCTGGTAGGACAAATACCAACTGGTGAGTTACACGCTCACGTCCAGGAGCGGAACGGAAGAGGAATTCGTGGACATGGTCGAACGATGCAACGCCGTGGGCGTCTGGATCTACGTGGACGCCATTTTGAATCACCTGGCTGGTCCGGGCAAATCCGGGACCGGGTCTGCCGGCTCCGAATTCGACTTCCGAATTCCATTACTTCCCTGGAGTCCCATTCTCAGCCGAAGATTTCACGCCTCGCGACCTCTGTCCCTCTTTTGACGGTAGCATCATTGGGGTTCCTCTATTTCCACTACCAAAAAAATTAGGAAGGAAATGAAAACATTGGGTTGGAAAGAAAGTCTTGCAACACTCTGCGCAAATTTTTCAAAATTGTATAGCTTGATTGAAACGCAATTTCAGTCTGCAATGTAATGACCATTGTTGTCTATGGCATGCTCGGATATGACATGTAACGGAAGGGGCCAAGTCCGGAGAATACGCTGGATGGGGTAAAACTTCCCAGCCCACCCAAGCAGCATGTTCACATAAACAAGATATCAATTTTTTGCAAACAATGTGCATTTCTTGCGATTGCCATGAAAATTACATCACGTTTACGTAAAATTTACGTTCCTATATTTACGTCACCATAGTGTACGTGTATTTTACATCAACTAGACGTCACTTCATCTGACGTGAAGTACACGATATCAAGTTTATGAAAAATTAACACCACACCATCCATATGAAACTTTAGCTGACTATCCTGCAGTTGCAGTACCAAGATTCCTCACTAGATGGAACCCTTGTTCCCTGGATCTTAAAATTACTATTAAGTGCTGTTTTTCCTGATATAGTATCAGGTTTTCTTATCATCCTTCTACCTTTAATTATGCAATCCATGAATATATATGAGGAAAATAGGAAATTTGTATATATATTTAATAATATAGGACTCAGGGAATCATTAAATGCTGAAGTTAAGCTTTTTATTACAGCAGCGCACGGGATTAGGGAAGAGTAGAATCCCAGCCCCACAACTACTGCACATACTCTATCCTAAAAGGAAGAGAGCTCTTTTGAACATCTACTCCTTCTCCCGAGGTTCCGGTACGAGAGGAGGCAGTAGTAGGTCACTTTGGTTCTCTTGAGTGCTGGTGAGGATGAGTGCTCGTGTCACTCTTCCAACCACCCTAGAGTTCTGAAGAATGTAAAGGAATAGGAGATTCAGTGTGTCAATCCCCTTCAATGGTACTGATTGACTCTTTAAATACGCATGAATGCCAGGGGAGAATTAACATAAATCTTACGTAAAATAAATGTAAACACTCTGTTTGGAATGCAAACGGGAATGTCAATTTTGCGTAAAACTTACGCTAATTTTATATCACCGTTTACGTATCACAGAGGTGACATTTCTGCAAACATGTTGACATTTTCTTGACAATGGTTTGCGTAAAAATGATATAAAATGGACAAAAAATGTACATTCAGTTTACGTAAAATTAACATAAACATGCCGTTTGGGTTCGAGCGACCTGGCATCCCCAATCTGACCTGATTCGCTGATTTTCTGGTCAAATCTTGAAGAGGAATCGACATCTCACATATTGACTCCAGCTATTATTTTAAGGAAAGAAAGAAAAGGAGAAAAATCAATAACGCATCTCTAATGATATATTGATTGTCATGCCCGTTTTCAGCAGGAATGAGAAACGTCTGCTCCGTCATCTGCCACAATTTACAACGGTTCATGTGAATTCAAACAAGACTGAGCCAGCTTAGAGGATGAGTCCTCGAAGTGGAAGAATTTCGACAGTCGTCACTCCTGGGGAAAAAAAAAAAAACCCAGCTCATGCCGAGTCTCTGGTAAGCGAAAAATAGGCGAATCATCTGCGAAGAGTTGGAGCAGAGTCCATGCGTCGGATCGGCAGCGGTTTCAAAGATTTTGCACGAACATCTTCATGTGAGGGAAATTTGCACCGCTGTTGGTTCCATACGGTCTGCCAAAAAATCCGGGTAGAAACCAGAGGACATTTACTATGGAAGAGTAGGATGAGGGCCAATCTCGGGCGCTTTTTCGAGCTTTGAATACGACGAAACCCGAATGCATCAGACCGATCCGGTAACAATGCCGAAACCGACTGTGTCGGTATTTCAGGGAGCCCCTTGGTCGAAAAAGGTGCTTCGCAGTTTCCCTTCCAAAAGCGCTAGAAGAACTGCGCAATTGCAGTTCAGAGTCAAGCATCAGTTTCATCCTCTTATTTTGATTCATCTCCTCGCCCTCCCACTCGGCCGACCTTGCCCTTCGTCATTGTTTTCTTTTTCCCAGGGTGAAGGAGGTTGAGAAAGGGAAGCAATTCCACGGCGACGACAGGCATTTGAAGCTCTTCCAGAACATTTTCCAGACGAGAGGAATCCCCCGTCTCGAAAGGTGACTGGAGCAGCGAATTCCAGCTGAGGGACGGTATGAACCTGAGTCCGAATGACTCAGGCGTTTCATCGCCAAAAAAAAACAAGGGCGAGTGCATCGTTCGAAAAACTCTCGGAATGACCCTGGGATCGAAGGACGAATAGCAGCTTGGGCATAGCTCAGCTTTAGAATAGGGACTAGTTAGAATCCCCAAGCAACTGAATGACATTAACAATCAAAATGGCATGATGAATTAACTCACACCAAACCTGAAACACATCAGTAGAGTCAGAAGTTATCCAGAAACCCAGTTCGCCGTCTTGGTCACTGTGCACGTGGCAATAATAGTTGCACCTTCCCTGGCCTGCAGAGATGCGATGGACCACAGGATTGCATTTAGCCTGTCCTAATCGCCAAACAAACTCTACTTCTTCTCACTGTAGCGGATTTCACCGATTTTGCAACATGACTTGCTCAAAAGCTGAGTGATTTAAAGGGGTGGTGCAGGGTGGCCGAACGGAACCACGAGCAGTTTCGATGCACCACACCGTCTTTGAATAATTCAACTTAGGACGAATAGCAATGCAAAATCATTAAAATAGCAAAATCTGAAACATGGAAAAGAAGCGTAACTAAATGAAATATCGGAATAGGTTAACTACTGTATAATCCGTGACATCTCCGCTGGTCAAGGGTAGTGCAACAATAAATACTCCGTATTTGGGATCCTACTCCATTTTGCTAGTCACGAATCTATTGAAATCATCCTCCCGACGACCGGATCATTTTCTGACACTTCACACTTCTAAACGTCAAATGAATTCAAGTAGTCCTAGTCCCAATCCTAGTCGTATTTGTGTTGGACTGCTCGCCCCATAGAATAGGGAAGTTTCTCAGGAGCCAGGCGTCCCAAACTTAATCCTCACCTGCTCTTCCCACAGGCCTTCACCTCTCCGCGACATTTCGTTCGTATTCGCCCGGTAGAACTAACCCTCGACCCAGCTCGCGTCGACGGCATCGCAGTTCCAGTCGCCGGATGCCAAGTGGAGGCTTCGATTGCGCGTCCGAGCAGTGCGCGTCCCCCCTCGAGAGACACGCCGACAGGTGCCCCAGCGTCGGCGTAAGCTCCGAACCTTAATGATAAGTCGGGTGCCGGAGGAAGTTGTGATGCATGGAATGCCTTTTCTTATCCCGACAGGTAAACAGATCTTTGTTACTGATAACAAGTTGAAAGCGACGGTGATAAGATGTCTCTGCAACACACCAAGGCGATCACGAGCCAAAGTTCCGCAATGACGAGAACGGTCACTATTACATCTTCATCCGAGACACAAGGTAAGGTTTTCGTTTTGGATGTGTCTGTTCTCCCTTTCTTAGAAGAAGTAATTTTCTTGAAAATGGAATGTATTGGTCTCATACGGTGAATGTCACGCTACAAAACAAATATGCTCTTCTTGGAAAATAGTTCTTTTTCTTTAAAGTTCTTCAGTTTATGCGCATGATGTGACAAATCTTCGTAAAACTTTACATCCATATGTAATACTCAGACGCCTGTCTAGGAGCTGAGCTGACTTTTGAGACTTTCGACTGGAACACGATCCCGTTCGCATTTTTATTACAGGTTCCCTTGTCGCCAATTCCCATCACCGACACGATGAGCATGCATCATCATTGCAAGCGAAGGCAACTGCCGAGCAGAAGGACAAGAAAACACCCAGCAAGGGATCGAGCGTCGACGCCACGCCCAAACCCTCAACGAAGGCGAAGGACGGGAAGGGAGCTGCTGAAGCACATAGCAAGAAGGAGGCTGCACCAAAGGAGAAGTCGGTCGAGGTCATGAAGGAGGATGGGGGAGACGAGGACTTTTGGGGCGGACAGTCTGAAGAGACGTACTTCAGCCACCGACGAGAGAGTCACGAGATGGTTGCCAAGGATGGCTTAGCCCTCCCAGCAAAGGACGAGAAAGCTACCAGACCGGAATCACCCGCCGTCCAGTCTGAAGAGGACTACTGGAGCCACCGACGAGAGAGCCTGGTGGAGATGGGCGCCGCCGATCCCCCTCCCGAGGCGAACACGGACGACTTCCAAGATGCAGCCATGGACGAAATCCCAGAGGATTTCTGGGACCAGAAGCGCAGGAACAGTCGACTGGAGGATCTCGACAATGAGTTGGATATTATCCTCGAAAAGGAACGCAACATGCGCAAGCCTAAAGACATTGGAGACAAAAAGAAAGCCGGCATGTCAGTGAAAGTGCCTCTGTTCAGCGTGATACATCGTAAGCACTGAAACCAGGAACTTGACTACAAGTTCGCGTGCACGTATTTTTTTTTTCATATATATCTTTGTACGCGCGACGCGTTCCGGCGATACCGCGAATGAGTTCCGGCCGCGGGACGGCATGCTCTCGTGATTTTCATTTCCTTTTTTCTGAGAGGTAGTGTGTAGCTAATCGATCTAATAAATCGGCTCGACCCCCACACGGGGTTCAATTTCTTTCGACACAGTTCAACATTTCACTCCATAAACATATGCATAGGCGAAACTCTGATGTCTCCCCTATAAATTAGGTGCGGATAAAAAAAAAATAAAATATAAAGTTCGCGTGGCAGTGAGCGTGTGGCAGACGAGGAATCTTTCTTACATCTGTGTAGTTTTTACATACATTTGTCCTATATGTACTGTATATTATTTATTGGCTATATCCAAAATAGGAAGTTCCCTCAACGTTTTGGTGCTCCTTGGGAGCATTCGAGTCATGGCCTTGATGAACGTTCAGAGAACGAATAACTTGAACGTTCTTGGGCACTAAATTTCGGAAATTTGAAAAGTCCCTGGACCTTTACTATTGACATTCGTCGCATATTTGCCGCTTGTGAACTGTTAGTCACCTCTGCAGCATTGCTGAAACATTGCGGAGATGATGGCCAAATGGGCAATATTGCATGGCTCTCACGACGGTCATCCGTGTTGCCTGAGACCAAAATGCAATATGGTTGAACCTTTACTCATTTTGTCCTGTTGGGTGGGGTTACATATTCAACTGTGGATATTTGAACATAGGACAACCTTTTCTTACATTCCGTCAACTGAGATCTCATAGATGAAGTGGCCCCCTTTAAATTTTACATTCCATTAAAAGCAGCCAGACATGGAAAAAGAAAATTTCTGTCAAATACGAAACCAGTTCCAGTGCCTCACTATTCGAAGGGGCCCGACAGAGAATCATTTCGTCGGCGGAGACCGCAGGACTCTCCCCCGAGCAACGAAGCTCTCCCCGTCGGGCGAAAGCGATTAAAGGGACAAAGCGATTAAAGGGACGAAGAGATCGCGTGGAACGCGACGGGGAGGCAGGACCAGTCGGATCGGGTCGATAGCGAGAGACGGTCTGTTTTCGGTCGCTTCGCTCTTCTGCATTGCCAATAAAGTAAAAACTTGAAATCTTCAAATCCTGGTGGTTCGTTTCGTCAGAAATCCTGAATCAGGAAGCCTGCGTTCCTATTCAAATGGACAAAATTTGCTGATTAATTACGAACAAATCACTGAACTCCTTTCCCCACTCTCGTAATACAGAGCAAATTTGAAGACAATTAATGTAAAAATACATGAAACATCGCATCAGCAGCAAGCGAAATAGGGCTTATAAGCGGACAAGCGAGACTAGAGCAACACCATCGCTTGGCTGTTAGACCCGTTTGAAAAAGACTTCGATTGCATCTGATTCTGTGCGTAAACTCTTCTCTGACCAAGGATATGGCAATCCAAATAAACAAGGGCTGTATCGATGGCCACATTTGGCAGATGGGCCGATGGACGATTATTGTCAGCAGCGAAGAACCATTATACTATATTTTCATTTAAATTTACCTATTAGGGAGCCACGTTAAATTTATTTTGAGGCTGTCATGCTGGGTGATTCGAAAACATCGAAGCATCGACCTGAAACATCGATGGTGCATCGATGCACCTTGGGGAAGGGGTGCCGGCGGATTCAGTCGTTTCCCGCTGCGATCGGAAGGAGGGTTCACGTCCGTCTTTCCTATCTCTATCCGTATTACACGATTATGCAATCGCGATGATCAGACCAAACAAACACACTCTGTCTGGTATAATCTGAAGGGGATAGACGTCAATAAACGTTCCAAATACCGCCAGTGACGAAAGTGTAGACTCGACAGGCAACAAAGAACCCAGTCCTCACGTGCGAGCGGAAAAAAAGGAAAATTCCGAACACTCATTCCGAACGCCATTGCCATTTCTCACCGGGAATAAAAGACAAGGGAAACAAGAGTAACAAAATTTCACTCAAATAGAAGTCATATTTACTCTTTTGCTTCGCTCTACTTGCATCAAATAGATCAATATGCACTAATCTGAGAGGAGATTCAGCCAGTGATAAGCATCATGCAAGGATTTCCAAGGAACAAGGGACACTGACAGTTATTTGAGATGTCAGTTCATTTATCTGTGCAATCAGTTCATTGCTAAATAGAATCCTGTGCGGCATCTCTGAGATGGTGCTGTCCGGATGGGTAAACATCGCCGAGACTTGAAAATTGCATTCCTTGTGGCAAACACCAAATCGTGATTGACACACATTGAAGTATCAATCACTTTGTGATTGACACTTCGTTAAATAAATAAAAAGACTCATGAGGGAAAGGACTAAATGCATTGTCAAACCAATTCGAACTCAGATTTCGACGTCGAAAACGGTCAGGCTTGCCTGACCTTCCAGCATTCCGTGCCGGACACTCGATGTCCCAGCTGAACTGCATAAATTATTGCATAAATTAAAACAATCGGTGAGAACGAGTCAATGCTTTGACAGCGATGGCGTGAAGAGAGAGAGAGAGAGGGAGGGGGAGAGAGAGAGGGAGAGAGAGAGCCCACATAGCACAGGTATTTCCCAAAGATATCCCAGAGATATCACCTTGGGACAAGTGCGATGTCCCAGAGACAAGGAGTATGGAGGTCTTCGAGATGTCATTGGGCCCAGACATTTTGATATCCCTAAGATGTCCCTTTTTTGAAGAACTAGTATATCCGAAAGGTGTCCAGGAGATATCGCCTCGAGACAAATGAGAAGTCCCAATTAGTACTTGCAAGTGCCCTCCTATCAGCAATGGACTCATTTCCTACTGCACAGTGGAGCCCATTACTATCGAAGATATCTTTGTCATTGGAACACCGAATCTTAAGTTTTTGACCGATCGATGAGTGACGATTATGGGGGAGGAAAATCCCGTTCCTAAAGGGGGACCCACTTAGGAGACATATCTCCAAGGGACGAAACCTAACACCTTTACACGAGGGGTCATAGACGAGATGATTTAGCCTCACGCCTTTTAAAAGCATGGGCTCAGGCCTTCAACCGAGAAAGTTCTATCCAGACATGGATACAACTATCAGGCATCATTAAATAGAATATAACGGAATAAATTAAAATTCGGAGAGCAATTTTTCACTTTCCCTGGTGGAAGTTTTCCTTATGTATGGTACAAAAACCCTTACTTATCCTCAGGGCAAATCAAGTAGATGAATACGATAGAAAAGATCAGAGGTTGCTGATCAGGGCTCGCAGGAGACATCTACCGTCGAAGCTATGCACCTGACTGAAGGCGACAAAGAGTACTGAAGATGCCTAAAGACATCCCTAAGACATTCTATTTAAGATATCGAAAAGCGTTTGACTGAAGATGTCCTCAAGATATCCCCTCCGGGATATCCAGAAGCATTCGACTAAGGACGTCTTCAAGATATCCCGAAAGGAATATCTCTAAGATATCGATTGAAGATATCTAAAAGACGTCTGTTAGATATCCCAAAGACAGCCCTTACGGTATGTCCGAAACCGTCCGAAAGAAGATGTCTTCAGGATATCCTATGAAGACCAGGGGACAAGTCGTCCAGTTAGGGACATCCCTGGGATATCACTGTGCTATGTGGGAGAGAATTCGCCTCATTGCAGCCCGAGGTCCTCCATGCATTCAGAAAGAACCCGCCGAAGTTCGCGCTCCGTGCTCCTCCTGGTCTCCGGCCTCCCATCGCGAGACAGAATCATCACCTTCTTTTCGCGAAATCTGTGCAAAGAATGAAAAGGCATGGTGATTGATGCGACCGAGGTCCGTCACGAACGAGTTCTCGTGAGACACACTCTCTGGGGATGGGAAACAAGGTCTCATGCGGAAAGGGGATCGGGTCGTCTGGGTGCTCCTTGGTGTACATGCGCACTTTTCTCAGGGGATTTTCTTCTCTCATCCCGTAGTCCACCTCGATTATTTTGAGAATGTAGTCGACATCTCGTACACAATTGGGTAACTTTGCGCGAAATTCCCTCTCGAATCTTTCCTGGAGCCTGGATCTTTCGAATCCCTCCTGAAATCAGGAAGGAGCGGATGCCAATACACGGATCTCAACCGTAGCCATATCCAGAATGCTCGTGATTCGTCACATTCAAAGTAGAAAATTTTTTGAAAGTTGAAAACACGTTCCAGAGAGAACCCCGAGGCGATGATGAGGCTTACCGCGGTCATTCCTCTGTCTGGAAAACGGGCATCCCCAACGCGTCTGTACAATTTTCTCTCCTGTATGTTTTGGAGTATGCGAACGGCGTCCTGTAATTCGACTCTTTCGCTATTGAGTATAGTGAAGAAGATGCTGTCATCGAGAAGCGCGAAGAGCTCAGGGTGATCTAATGTCTCTCTCAGCCTCAAGGGTTGCCTGAAACGACACGACGTGGCTCCTGAAAGGAAAAAAAAGGCAAAAAAAACCTAGATGATTTAAGTGAAAGTATTACCTCAAACGACGATCGTGAACGAGGTTGAACGCGCCCTCCGCTTCCGCCTCTGCCCTGAACACTTTCGTCATGGCGTCAATGAACCTGAAAGATGCAAGAACGACGACGCCAATACGAAAGGCATGGTGCTTGCCAAAAGATCCATCGTTTTTCACTCATTTGCATTAAGAGAAGGACAATGGCAGACTTTGAAGTCGTCAATGATGCCCAAGTAACACAGCATGTTGATGAAACGTTTCCGAAATGTTGCCTATGTTGCTCTATGTTGCAAGTTGCTTTACAACATTGAGAACACATTGCTTCAATGTTTTCACTTGGAATGTTGCTGCGACTCATTGAAGCAATGTTTTCTCAATGTTGTACAGCAACTTGCAACATAGGCAACATTTCGGAAACGTTTCATCAACATGCTGTGTTACTAGGGCAAGGACGTCTCCTGATGACGTCCGCCTGGCGCTTTCTTTTTTTTGTTCGTGAACAATGGCTCGCTTCAAAATGGCTCGTGTCAAAATGCCAGCCTAAGAAATTCTTCCTCCGAACTTTTATTCGACTACAACGCAAAACTGACAATCTTGTGAACCTGGATTTGTTGTGTTCGAAGGTCGGATATCAAGATTTGAAAAGCAAATCATCTTTAATTATTCCTGAGGTGCGCGTTTTCCTGCTCGCCTAAAAAACTCATCATCACATCTCTTTCCCTCGTTCCGAAGTTCAGCCATCTGGAAGACAGATGTTGACTCGATTGAGTTTGATTTTTGTGTGGGCGTGAGGAGAACCGGTAAGGAGGGGGAAGATGGACGCAGGAGTCGATTTCTAAATCTTAATTATTTTTTTATTTCTTAAGTCTCATCAAGACCAATGAACTGACACAAAAGCTATGTTTGATGCTTAGAAGAAGAAGATAACGAAGAATTGGAACTATTTCGCAGAGAAATTCATCCTGAATTACAATTGTCTCAGGAAGCTCACCCGAGTAAGCTCGCTGAGCTGTCTTGAGATTGCAATACTTGCTTGTCCTCATTGGCCACGCCCTTTCCTCTAGCTCATCAGTCATTACTAAGTAGAATATCCCCCCCCCCCCCCCCGATGTGGTCTTTGCAAAGCTTCCTCTCGAATATAACTTGATACACTAACTCTTAATGGTGAAAACAAGGAATTCCAAAAGTGATGGTCCATGTCGATAACGTAAATCTCAGAAATGCATGCAATCCTGAGAGATGAAATTGTTTTCCCATTGCTAGAGGTTTAGGTCTTGGGGGGAGAGTGGGAGAGGGTTAGGAGGTACACCCTTCCCTTCCTCCCACTTTTCAAGAAAAGGAGTAAAAAAAAAAAAAAGGAAAAGTCCCATTTAAAACAGGGTCCCAGAGTTCGTGTGCTTCCCCACCTTGTCAGCCACTTTGTCCCCCCCCCCCCCCCCCCCCCACTTTTTCTATTCATGTTACACTTATGACTGCTATTGTTGCATCCATTTTCCACCGATTCCTCGGTCAGCACAGTTCACCTCGGGAACCCAATGGAGAATCAACGAACTATCTAAAATCTGATATTAAAAGAGTCAGAATTCTTCCATAATCCAAGAATTCTAATAATAATAAATTTTTCCAAATAATAAAGAATTATCTCACTTTTTGAAACATCTCCGACACACAGAAAGCGAAAAGCCCGCATAAAAAAAGGATCCTCACATGCAATCGATGACGCACTTGACCTTGTGCTGACACGCTCTCACGTGCAACTGCGCCCTCTGGTAAAACATATCCTGCAAGTTGTTCGCCTCCTTGTCCCGGAAGCAGATCTGCCACCCGTGGTCGCAGACCCTCAGGGCCCGGGCGTACTTCATCAGCCGCTCGTGGTCGAACGTGCTCTTCAGGCCCAGGAGGTGCGAGTCCCGGAGGAAGTAATCGAACTTGTCCACGTCGATCCCGTTCCTCTTGTTGGCGACGATCTGCGAGAAAATATCGTTCTTTCCTTTTGTCATTCTAAAATGCACACAACAGTCACATTCCAGTGGCATACAAGGGTAGGCCCAGATGAATGAAGGGTTGAGATATATGAAAACTTCATCTGGTAATGTGTTTTGGCTGAAATTCAAGTTGAAGAAAAACGGTCTTAACTTGGCAAACACAGAGCTGTTGGCTCTCAATTGTATGCCTATTTTTAACTTATAGTTTGTAACTTATGTAACAACTAAAGGGTATTAGGAATCAACAAAATTCGCTAAATTTCAAATTGAGATGATTCTCTATAAATTTCTTTCCTTCTTCAATGAATAGAACAATTCCTAATGAATTGGTCAAGCCTTGTCAGCTGGTAGAAGTAAGCAAGAAACTCACCAGATCGATGTTTTCTTTCTTTTAATGTGCTTTATGTTTCTTTCAATGGGAAAAAGTATACACACAAGTCTATCTAGTAGGCTACCTGTACTTTGGAACGGAAGAAAGTTATTTTCTTGCAATAGCATTCTCTGAAGCCTCATGGAACCAGACAATCGATATCATCGGTCAGATCACGCCACCCCTGCCCAGCTACGAAATCACCGAACGAGGAACCGAGTGCGTGGCGCTCACTTCCCAGAGGAATCCTTTATCCCTGAAGATATGACCGATCTGGTCACTTTGCAGATCCAGGTCCGTCGGCGGGGTCCCGACCATGAGAGACTTGATGAGAGCGACGTCGAGCTCCGACAGACGATCGCCGGCCCCAGGAAACGATTCATTTCTCAAACTATGCGTTTCGACGATGTGCTGAAACATCCGTCCACTCATTTCTTCGTGCTGTTTAGGTAAAAGAAAGAAAACCTCCCATTCGTTCGGAACATCGCTACTTTCACGCTCGACCTCCTCGAAGGACGAGCCCACCTTCCAGGGTATTCCCGCAGCCGTGAGAACCTCCTCCCAGGTGTGCGAGAACGGGCCGTGCCCCAGATCGTGGCAGAGCCCGGCGATCTCCACCCGCAGCAGATCCGATTCGTCGATTCCGAGCTCTGGCTGGTGCCTCTGGAGTCTTTCGGCCATTTTCCGCCCCAGGAAGGCCGTCCTGGCATGATGGGGCGGGAAGGTTTTTATTTATTATTCCAGTTTGCGAAAAATTTTAATTTGATAATAATGCGTGATTCCTACACTCCAGATTCGAGGCAATTGGTCGTTCTTCACTAACAATGTAATATAAAATCATTTTAATTGCTATCCCCTGAATGATTCATTCAGGGTACCTGGTACCTTCCATATATGGAAGGGCAATAAATTGTACGCCACTGTTGTCTTCAGAAAACGTTGCGGTCAACACATGCAAGATGGGCAAAGAAGATGGGAAACATTTCGAAATCTCTGGGGTTACAAACTAAAAAGATTTTAGCCTCGGTGACCGGTTCCAAGGCAGGACGCCATGTTGGGTTCACGTTGGCCGTGAGCGGGGGAGCGTGGGTTCACATCGCAGATTGTTCATAGCTTTGTGGGCACTGAATGGAAAAAAAATTAAATGTTCCAACTTTTCCCCGATCCATGCAAACGGTGCCATTGGGATTGGGAGTCCCAATGGCACCGTTAGTTTATTTGCAGTTTACCGCGACAATTGGATGACATCAAAATAATGAAGGGCGAGCTTCACCCTTCATTATTTTTCTTAACGTCAGCCGTTCGACTAGGCTCGCTGCAATTGCCAGCATTCGAGGGACAAGGTACGCACTAGTCGTCCCCTCGCAAGAAATGAACCCGACGAAACTCACCCCAGGCTGTGCTCGAACCTGTGATGACACGCCGCCGGGAAGACCCAGTAGCAGAAGCCGAGCTGCTTCAGGTTCCGCAACCGCTGGAACTCCGGCGTGTCGATGAGGCGGACGCTCACGGGGTGGAGGTGCATGGGGCCGTGGATGGAATCCTGGAACACTTTGAATTTCTCCATGGCGATCTCGGAAATTCCTAACCTAGACGGAGGAGAAAAAAATTCCCTGCAGCCAAAAACACCTGCTTCGCCTTAAAATAGCTATTTCGAATGCAAGCAACGCCCTCGACTTCGTCTCAGAAACCTCACTGTTGCATATATCTCATCGTCGGGCCAACCCGAGGCACTTCCACATCTGAGACATTGCCCTCCGATCGTTCCCAAATTTCCTTAACTAAATTTCCTAGCCACCTACATATTCTCGATGCGATGAGAAAGCCCTCTGGTCGATCTGCGAAATGGAAGAGGTTGCCCTTTCGCGAATCAGACTGCAAACCGAACCCATAAACGTCCCCCAAAAGAGACCGAGAAGATCCGATCCGGATCGCCCCTCTTGACTCTTGCCCCGAAGATGGTCTAATTGGAGATCAAATGTATAGCCGACGTGGGAAGATGCGGGGCGATGCGTCGGTGCATCGGGATGTACGGGACATCTCAGAATCCACTGAACTTGGGTTTATTTATGTCTGTTACGTTTATTATGCGTATTATGTGTATTACGTTAATTATGCGTATTATCGAGCCACGTGTTAGCCGTGCAGAAGCGTTTTCCCGCTTCCAACCGTGGGAATCGTGGGGTCGCTGCAGCTGGAGTGAATTGTTACGAGTGCGGACAAAAGAGGGACATGACCGCAGGCCTGAACGTGAGCCGAATGGATGGGCCTAACTCTTCGCAAAGTTACAAACAACCAGGCCTGAATGCATGCCGACATTGGCCTGGTCTTGACGCTCCCGGTTTTCAATCGCCGATCATGGGCTAAACGCACCGCTTAGTAGTACTTTATTGCTACTTTCGGAAGTACATTGGTTCTTCGGACTCCGAGAAAGAGGGTGAGACGAGCCCAGAATAGTACGTAATTAATTGAAATCGGGCCCTCGAATACGGTGTTTTGGGCATTCAGAAGCCCTCGTTGCCCATTCGGCCCGTCAGACTCGACGCCCATCCAGTCCGCCACCCTTGGCACCTGGAGACACTCTGTGAACGGGAGCGAAACGAGTGCAGCGACACCTCAGAATCCAAATCGAAGTATTTGCTCTGAGTTCGATTGCCGACAGGTGGTCCCGACCCTCGTACTCGACTTACCTCGTACCGCAGCAAAAGTACTAAAAGGTTGCGAAAATATCGAAAACGGTTCTCCAGTTCGGATGCGTCCAATCCCTTGGCACCCGCCCCCCACGGGGGTCGGGTTGAGGGCTTCGTGAAGGGACAGTGGAATCTTGGGGGGGGTTCGACGCGGGGGGTCGGTATTTTAAAAAACCGAGAAACGCACTTGTCGGTACTTTCCCCGAGTAGCGCACAGCCGTACTTTGAAGCCTCAGCCTCGCGTCCAGCAGTAAATTTGAAAGGCGAACATCTCCACATTCTCACCTGGATGTCCATCACCACGCACAACAATTTCCTACTGTCGGATCCCCCCCCCCCCCTCCCCCCTCCCCCATCGTGACGGAATACGAAAGGCAGCAGCGAGACCACCACAGGTGGAGTGTCTACCCCAGCTGTGGTCTGGGTGGGTAGTATGCGTCAACGAGCCGCTTAGAAATAGTACTGCACGTGTCGATTTTGCGTAGGGATGCACTCTTTGACCGCCCATTCGGAGCACCCGCACCGCGTGTATCGGTTCACTGCGCGGCGGAAAGGATCAGAAGGAGTTGGTCTGGGTTCAACCTTTTGACCTTAGAGTAAGGTCTTGAGCTTTAGGTATTTTGGTCCTCAACCTCTCACAGACGAGGCAAATAAATAAATGCAAAAAGGGGAAAGAGCGAAGATGGCTCTATTTATCTTGGCCCGTCTCCCTTTCTGGTCCGTTACAGCATCCTATCAATTTCCTCGTTCCGTTCGTATTTCGCCGCCCAGAGGCCGTCCGGCACCGGATTTAAGGGCCACGAGACATTCGCAGCACAATTCCCGACGGAATCGGACGAATCATTCCGTGTCGCATCTTCGCAGTCGTTTGCGCTCTGTATCTGTCGACTGCAGATTATGGAACCCTTAGATAATACGTGTAATTTGGTGAAACGACTTCGGCGGTCGTTGATTCCAACCGTCACCATTGAATCTTCATAGCGATACGAAATATCCCTCCAAGAATGATCTCGATGTCACTTACTCTCCTGGTTATTTCCCTTCGTCTCGATCCATGAATTGTAATTTTATTTTTTTCAAGTCGAGAAGCACCTGCTCTTCGAGTGCAACAGCCCAAGTCGTACCCCNACCTGCCCTTCGAGGGCAACAGCCCAAGTCGTACCCCCCCCCCCCCCCCAAGAGAGTGCTACATGAATTATTCGGAATGTTCGCATCAAGTGTGCATTTACTCAGTGTCACTGCCACAATTTGTGCAGGGGAAGTGTACGGTCTGACATGTGTTTTTGGCCTCTCCTCCAGCAGAGTTCAACAGCTCATGAGACATAGCTCGTACACACATGAACGTAGGAGATAAATCATTCCTTGTCTTCGGAGATGATATTTCCTGCTCGGGTTCTGAATTTTCACGTCTATGCTGTTGAATTCGGTCAGGTCGGAGTGTTTCACCATAAAAACAAGGCCTCGGAAAGCAATTTTTTTTTTCCCTCTGCGTTCCGTTCGAAGCCCACCACGAACCCCGACGGCTCGTAATTCCCACCTCAAAAGCTTCCTCTACCTCATACAATTTCAGGTATTCACCAGCTGAAAGTCGCGCTTAGCCAGTCATGCTTTCTCTCGTTAGCTTCATGTATTTACTTCATTAAACTCACGCTGTGATGCGAAACGTTTCCAGTTTTCATACTTCCTGCTCCTCTTCCCCTTTCCTACATTCGGTGGGCTACTCGGTGTCCAAACGTCTCAACGACGGACTACATTTTTCTCATTCGTTCGACCGATTCAATGTATGCCTATTATTGTATTATTATAGGCCTAAAAGTATGTATTATATGCCTAAAAGCGGCAGCGTCTATTACCTTTCTTCAACCCCTTTCCGCCACAAAATTCAACCTCTTGGTATTCCTGTCTGAGAGCATCAACATGAAGGAAATTTGGCATACTTCTTTCTCTCTCACTACGGAATCGCTCCAGCAAAATTTGAAGCTTCATCTTCCCTCGGTTACGGAGAACACTGAATGTAGGAAAGGGGAAGAGGAGCAGGAAGTATGAAAACTGGAAACGTTTCGCATCACAGCGTGAGTTTAATGAAGTAAATACATGAAGCTAATAAGTAATGTGAAAACCAATTTTCAATCGCTTTCCCTTTCTTCAACCCTGCCCCCCCCCAGATTCAGATTCAAGATACCAGATTCAAGACTGTTTAAACCCTCGTATTAGCGTCTGAATCTTCTGTTTTTTAATGCAAGAGACATGTTCGTGCTGAGTTCACGAGATGAGTTGAGAATGAAGTTGCAGTTAGCAGATATTGATCGATGTGGTGGAATATACAGATATGTTATCTGGACATCCCTGAATTAACGGGATGGCGCGTCCCATGGATTCCATGCTGCTTGAGGGCATCCTCTCCTCAGACTTATTCGAGATGATTGAGGAACTTCAGATAGGCCAAACGTTCCACGTTCCACTGAAATGGTTCATGAAACGCGAATCAGGCCTCCAATCGGTCTAACGTTAAACGTCCACTCTGAATCAACTCTTCATGAACGTATGAATATGCCTGCGATTGGCCTAACGTTACACGTCCTCAACCAGACGTCCGGAAGACCACGATTCATCCTTTTAGGTATAATTGGCGTCATCAGTGCAGAATTGAGTTTCTTTTGAAAAGAAAAAGGTATGTCTTGCCGTGACCTGAAGGCAGTCAATTGGTTAGGCCTAGGCCCAACGTTAGCGAATTTGAAGAAAGGGAAAGCGATTGAAAATTGGTTTTCACATTACTTCATTCCGCTTACTAAAGCTCTCTCTATTCCTGAGCCTGCAGGATATTGAGGCACTCTTGGAAAGGGCATATTTAAATTCCAGTATGCGAAGGAATTGGGAGAGAAAAAAACCCGGAACGCTGGGACAAATGTCACCGGTTCTCGTTTCCCCTCTTTCGAGTGAGATTGCCTTCAACAAGAAATCGGTCCAACCTGTGGTCTAAAGACGCCCACATTCGACCACACACCCACACGGTCTCGCGTCGTCACGAACAGATGCTGCATCTCGACGAGAACCTCAACCCGATGGGAGCGACCGTGGGACCTTGTTGCAACGTTGCTGCAACGTTCTCCAGTTGCACGGGCGTGCATGGTTCCACCGTGGATATTTCATCGTGGCAATACCCATTCTTCCATTCCATTAGCTGGAGGTAAGATGTGAAAGAGCAACCGTTTTGCCACACGCAACAGAAGCGGTTCCAGTGCAACATCCTCGGAATCGGTCCTGGCGCTGGAAAGAGCTTCGATGCACCAGCGTCTCTCTGAATCGTGGAATCGAGACGGAGACGAGTCAATGCTCTGGCTGTTGTGGTACGACCTTGAACAAGTCTTCGATCAAGCCGAATTTTCCGATGCTCATCGAAAAGGCATTCTCGAGGTCTCTGTTGATCTTTTCGTCTTCGGTGCAGGAAAGAAGCAGAACTTTCCGCTCCAGAAATCTGTGCAAGACAGAATGAGACACATGGTGATGAGTCAACACACAGCGATGACCGGGGAGCGGTCTCGTGAACGAGAGGCTCACCGTTTGGGGACGAGGAACAGGCTATCGTCTTTGAGCTGAAGAGGAGTATCTGGGGAATCCTTGGAGTAGAAAGAAACGTTTCTCAGTGGGTATTCTTCGAGCTTTCCGAAATCCACCATAATGTGATAGACAGAGTAGTCCTCATCCCTCACGAAAATGGGCAATAGGGAACGAAAATGACTCTCCAATGCCTCCTGTAATCAGCAGCAAAATTGAAGTTTTGTCTAAGATGTCAATTGTGACGATGCCCAAAATGGCTGCATGTTGCAAAGCTCATAACCCTAAACATCATGAAAACGCGCTCAGGAGAGGGACATGCCTGCGTCACTGCCTGCTGCGCCACTGCTTCCTGCGTCACTGCCTGTTGCGGGATGATCGCTTCCTTGATGACGCGGTACAGCTTTCTTGTCTGCATGCGCTCGAGGATGCGCGCAGCGTCCCCCAGACTAGGATCGTTGCTGTGGAGTATCGCCCAGAAAATGGAGTCGTCGAGCTGCACGAAGGCCTCCGGCGAGAGACACGCTTCGGCCAGGGACGAGGAAGTCCTGAAAGGTCAGCGATTCGACCGCTGTGGGGATATCGCAATGCCTGGCGGAGGTTAGAGGTTTGGCGAGCTTTACTCACTCTGAACCGACTGGGATCCTGTATGCGTCGTTTGCCTTCAGCATGGCCCGTATGAACCTGCATGAAGCAAGAACAGTTGTTCATGGCCTGTGCTAAAGGAACTTTGCTTACCTTGGGCATACCACGAAACGCCATTACAAAATGAAAAGGAAAATGCCAAACTTAAAAGTTATAAAGGGTTCAGAAATGGAAATACAATCTATAGTGGCCCCTGAAGAAAGCACAAAAATGATTAGAAGAAATCCAAGTGTATATTAACTAGGGCTGCATCGATATCTCCACTACCACCAGCATCGGCCGCCGGTGTTGCACTATCGGTGCCATCAGCCATCGGCAGGTATGGAAGCTGCCCATACTGATGCATAAACGGGAGGCAAAACTTACAGACATAACCTACGAAAGTAATAAGGGTGAACGTGCGAACCCAAAAAATATCGGTCGGATTGTATTTCGGTCCTATTCGAGGAGCTGGAGAAGGAAAATATCTATAGCAGCGCTTTTGCGAGAGACGTGTCGTTAAACGCTCTTAACGGCAGCAATTTACAAACCAAACAAAAATCACGTTAAAAAGGCACGAATTCAGGACGATCGATGAAAAAACCAGTTCTCTACCACATTCCGAACGAAGCAGCGAGAAGACCACCTCACATGGACTCGAGGACGCAGGTCACCCTGTGCATGTACGCCCGCCGGAAGAACTGAGCCCGCTGGTAGAACATGTCCAGCAGGTTGCTGGCCTCCTTCTTCGGGAAGCAGACGCGCAGGCCCTGGCCGGGGACGAGGAGGACGCGGGCGAGCTCGATCATCCGCCCGTACTCGAATGTGTTCTGGAGGCCCAGGAGGTGCGAGTCCCGGAGGAAGTAGTCGCACTTGTCCACGTCGATCCCGTTTCTCTTGTTGGCGACGATCTGTAAACAAATTAATGATAAGCGAAGTTGTCCATTTGTTTGCGAATTTTTTAAAATTCAATTGTGATATTTCTTGGATCTTTGTCGGCCGACACGAATCCTGCTTCTGGACGAAATTCCCTCAATGACGGGGATCCACTCTGCTCCCGTTGCTTCGACTGTCTCGTCGCCCGGAAATCGAAGATGGGTATCCAGCACTCATCCATGAAATTCGCTGGACTTGCCGCATTCCGTGCCGGCACGGAAAGAGCAAATGTCCAAACGACTCGGCCTTTTTGCCTTCAGCTCATCGGGCACAACTCGACTGTGCCATGACGAGACAGTCCCAGCCTTGAAGCGATTTCATGGTCCAATTTCATGGTCCAATTTCATGGACCAATTTCACGGACCAATTTCATGGACCAATTTCATGGACCAATTTCACGGACAAAACTGCAGCCTTCCAGATCGGGCTGCGTCCTTGGTAGATCTTGGAAGAAAGAATTTCGACGAGGAATTTGGACGTGCCGCCAGCCAATTTCGCGCACCCACTCGCAAACGGCGCCGGAATCATCAATCATCCACACCAAACCAGGTGAAAATGCTTCACCGAAATCTATAGAAACCCATGGCGGTCTCTTACCGATGCTTATAGAGTTTTTTTTTTTTCCATCTATCGAGGGATCGTATAGACTTCTATGGCGGACTCTATAGAGGTTCCTTCCGAATCTCCTCGATAGATTTCTCTATATTGTATGCAAAACTTATCGGAACTTTCGAGAAACCTTATGAAAATTTCAATAGGAACCTTATGGAAATCCTATAGAGGGATTTCAAGAAGCCATTCCATGGAAATTTCCATAAGCCCCACATGATAGAATCTCTAAGGAACATTTTCGCCTGCCTTTTTTTTTTTGCAGCCTACTGAACCTATTTGGACTTCCGCTCGATTGAAGTATTCTGCGTCGAAGGCGGCGCGATCGAAGGCGGCGCGATAGATCGCAGGCCAGATCATGATCGACTCCAGCATCGTTACTGGCTTCTATGCCCTCTAGTTTAATTAGTCTCCGATTTACATATTTACCATAAATGGTAACATAGAAGTACATATTATATGTCCATTTGATATGTCTAACCTGCACGATAGTAAGGGCACAACTTATTTCTTTGCAGTTATTTTTTTTTTATTCATATGGGAAGAAGAAAACCAAGGTAATGTGCCTGGATGTGCAACTCTCGACGAGCCAGCAACTGCGTAATGATCGCAAGAAGAAGAAAACGTACGTCCCAGAGGAAGCTCTTCTTCTCCCAGAACGGGTGATCGTTCCCGGTCCCATCCATGAGACTCTTGATGAACCCGACGTGGTCTTCGCCCAGGTTCGAAGCTCTGAACTCGGGCATCAGATCGTTCCTGTCGATGATGTGCTGCAGCAGGAGCGGACTCATCTGCTCGTGCTGCCGGGAGACGTTTGAAAGGGAAAGATAGCCTTGCATCCCCATCGACTCGGAGCAGAACCTCCCCGAGACTCGATCGGCCGAGAACTGCCCCGCCCGCCCGCACTCACCTTCCACCTCTGCAGTCGCGGCAGCCCCTTGGCCCTCCCGTAGGCTCGGACGAACCGCTGCCAGGAGTGCGAGAACGGGCCGTGCCCCAGATCGTGACAGAGCCCGGCGATCTCCACGCACAGCAGGTCTTCCGGCGTGATGTCGAGCGACTGTTTCCTCTGGAGCTCCTCGGCCATCTTGCGCGCCAGGAAACCGGTGCTGGACGAAGAAAACCGCCAAGGTGTGAGCCAGACGGTGCTGGCAATCGCTTCTGACATGGGAGAATCGGATTTTACCGCAGAAAACACCTCGATCCCGAATCCCTGCGATGCGGAAAGTGAGGCGCATAGTTTTCGCAGATTACTCAAGTTGACGAGAAATCATTTGCTAGGTAATGGTTATCGGCTTCCCGGCGGAGGAATAGCGACCTCACAGTGTCTGCACGACCTGACGACCCTCACGTGAGCACGATCACGAGAGCAGAGAGACACACGCGCCTAAAAGTCGGCGAAGAAGACGAGTCGAAGAATGGGCAGATCCAAAGAAAATGGACAATGAGAATGACCAACATTTTCTTTTCGAAGGAACCGTCTGTTCTTCCAGCCTGATTGAAATTCCTTCCTTCTAGCAAATATTGACCCATAATAAACGCATGAAGCAAATTTAGCGATCGCTCGGTGCACCGAAAAGCTGTAAGGGGATGGGGAAAAATTAATAATAGAAAAGAAGTTTTCTCTCGTGGTCTCCGCGATGCAGACGACGCCCCGCGCTCTTCGGCCCCGTGACGTCATGCGCAAGGAGGGCTCGAAACTCGCTTGGCTATCTGAGCAGAACCGTCTAGAGTCCGAGGGTCTCGGTCGATGACGTCCGTGAACATGCAGGGTCCTGCCTGGTCCGTTGCGATCGACCGTGAACATCGAGGGTCCTGCCTGGTCCGTTGCGGTTCTCGTGCCTGATTCTTCATGGCGGGTTCAATCCGTTCCGACACGGCACCCCACCCCCTGGCGTTCTGCTTCTCGACGATGATCGTCGAGAGGCGATTTTGGATCGTCGTAGGTGTCGTGCTTTCACGGGCCCGATCGATTGTTTATTGTTTACCGGTCGTTCTCTGCCTCTCCTCGAGCTTTTAGCTAACGACGATCTCGTAATGATGCGAAATTCCTTCTGCTCTGCCCTGTCATCTACGTCTTTATTTTCGGCCTCGATTAATCGCGCTGCATTCGGTGGAGAACGCGAAAGGGACTCACCCGAGGCTGTGCTCGAACCTGTTGTGGCTCGCCGCCGGGAAGACCCAGTAGCAGAAGCCGAGTTGCTTCAGGTTCCGGAGTCGCTGGAACTCCGGCGCGTCGATGAGGCGGAGCGACAGGGGGTGGAAGGTCATGGTGCCGTGGATGCAGTCGTTGAAGGCCTTCCGTCTGGACATGGCGGGTTTCGGGGGGTCGTCTGGAGGGGGAGGAGTCCCGTCGGCCGGCGTTGCGTTCTGAAGTACCGGTCGATGATGGGGGCATGGATTCGTCGGCCGCTGAGGTGAGAAAGGCAGGCTAATTCGAGCTGGGATCATCGATTCGACGCCGTCATGAAGGGGGGATGCGATGGAGATTCCGAGGAAAAAAAAATGCCGAAAAAAAGGCAACTTGGGTCGGGTCGGGTTGCCCCTTTCGTCTAACGCAATCTGGAATTTCAATACCTTCCCCTGATGTCGTCGGGGGGGGGGGGAAGGGAAGATCAATTACCGTTCGAAAATCTTACACCGATAGTTAATATGAGGTAGTAAGCCGTGTAGGCGATTTAAGTCCTCTTTTCATTTCGGGGTCAGGGAACCTCGTTTGTTCGAGTGATTGCCAGACGGCTCGCTCGATTTCACGTTCGAGTCACATTTGCAGGGCGTCGAACTGAATTGCAACGTCTCACGTCTCGTTTCTCGCATTTTCAACGGGGAGTCGAAGTTGCCTTCCAGTGTTGGCTCTCGGGATTCCCACCTCGATCGATTCGATGCAGTGCCGAAGGGATGGTCGATCTTAGAGGTTGGGGGGGGGGGGGGGTACACCAGTGACAGGTGATCGCGTCCGGCAATGAAGTCGAAACTTCACTTTCTCACCTGGATGTCCACCTGCATGCACTACAATCTCCTACTGTCGGATCCCCCCCTCTTCTCCCCGTTCTCCCCGGTGTGAGCGAATACGAACGGCAGCAGTGAGACCACGGGAGGTAAGGTGGTTGCCCCAGCTGTGGTCAGGGTGGGTCGACGAAACGCTTAAAAATAGTACTGCACATGGTGATTTTGCGTAGGAATGCACTCTTTGACCGCCCATCCGGAGCACTCGCACCGCGTGTACCGATTCACTACGCTGCGAAAGGGATCCACTAAGGGATCGGAAGGGATTGGCTCGAGTTCAACCCGGTGACCTTCAAGAACGGTCTTGGCGCGCGGGATATTTCGGTCCTCTCCCACCGACACGGAATGGGGAAATAAAGAAATACAAAACGGGAAAGAGCGAAGATGGCTCTGTTTATCTTGGCTCCGTCTTCTGCGTTTCGTCCGCATTTCATCACCCAGCCCTGCCTAGAGGCTGTCAGGAACCAAACTCACCCTCGAGTCACATCCTGCCCGTTTCCATGGAAACGATGCTCGATTCCGTGAGACTCGATGGTGCCGGTCGTGTAAGGAATCTGTTGAGTCTCGGAATTGGATCCAAATCGTTTGCTACGATTGCTACGCAATTCTTCACAGGAAGAATTGCGCGGAGCGCATTGTTTAAAAATCGTTTCGTCGAATTCCACACAAAATATATTTCTGAATATTCCTTTTTGGGCTTAGTTTCCAATGCATTCCTACCTCCAGAAGGAATTACATTACATGAATTACAGCACTATGTAATGATAATTAGGGCTGTACCGATGGCCACATATCGCCGGTGGGCCGACATTTTTCTCATAACCACCGGCGGGTGCCAATCGTAGCCTTTAGATGAAATCGCCTATAAATTCTAATAGGTCTAATTGGAAGCATGTGATACTTATCAGTAGGCCTCCTTGAAACGATAGAGATCATTTTTGATCCAAGGCATAGAAGAACGTAAATGAGTTGGAGATGGTGAATCCTTTCCTCAAGGTGTAACATACGCATGAAATCACAGAGTAATCTGTGTTTTAAAGATATCTGGATATTACTGAAATCAAGAAAAAGTCTTGATGAGAAATAACTACAAGATGAATCATAGGAAGCCTTTGCAAACTTTTCTTCCTATTTCCAATTGGAATAATATTTTGCATATTTTCCTACAAGAACCATCACCAATTCCAAGTTTAGATTTCCAAAAGATTGAAAAGTTACATCAACAGCAACTCAAGAGTATATTGCTCCTTTAGAGATATATCGATTAGCTACAACCTGTTAATGCTTTCCTGTTAACTGTGACAACATCAAAGTGTGGAGGTTTCCTTGATGAACTATATTGAAAGGCAATAAATTGGAAAAGATTCAGTAGATTCATTTGAAGCAAAGTTCATCACAAATAACTGCATGGTTATGAAGAAAAATGCAGAGAAAAAGCCCCTGAACACAACCAATACAGCTCTTGCACATCATGAGCAAAAAAAAGGATGACAGATTCGAAGAACAGAAATCCAAAAAAAAAAGAGCTCAAAGATCACATCGCAATGGTAACTGTGACTTCTGATGAGATTCATGTGGTAATCATGGTGTAGCAACCTGCTTCTCAAGGGTTGTCACAATGCCTTAATAACCAAGGGACAGAGTTCACCAAATCGACACAAAAGCTTCACTGGGATCACAACTTCCAAACTTTGTCTATGCAATGAGGATAGAATCTGGTAAATGAATAAAGTGAATACAAAACTGTCCAAACAAAAAACAAAATCCTCTTATTCTGCCACATCTCTCTTTGCTTTATTCCATTTGGAAATTAGTAGAACATAATTTCTTTCCCCTTCCACAGCAAGTGCCTGTGGACCAGATGTCAGAGTTTTTGCATGTAATAATGCAAGCTTGCCATTTGAAATTTGTCTTTCTGCAAGGGGGGGGATGGAGGAAAACAACACTCAATACTTGGTGAGCCCAACATCTGCTATATGGATGTATGATCTCAGTGAATGTGATCCGACATTCTCCCAACAATTTTTTTGGTAATGCGGATGAGGGATTCACTGCCATCATTGAAAACCAAAGTGGAGGACAGAATGGAAAGCTTGATGCATTCTGAAGCCCCCAGATAAACAACTTAATTGTAAAGCCTTTGGGCAGTATGCAAATTCCTAAGTCCATTCACAAAGAATGCACACCATTAACATTTTTTCAGTCATTCACCAGTTCCACATTAGTTCCATGAATATTCATGTATACAGTAGAGGGAAATGTTATCTTTAAATAGCAAAAATCTCAATTTGCTACAGTATATGCCAAATGATATAGCTTCATTGGAAATGTCAAGGCCAATGAACTTATACTGAATTTAGAAGTGATCCCTTATGCCTTCCACTCCATCTAACAGAACTTACTCTGTTTCAATCATATGATAAACAATTAAACAAAAACACACTATCTTATGTGATCTGAATGGGATCTATATCAATATGCCACGTCACAGGGGTGAAACTCCAGACTAGACAGATGACCAAGTACACTCCTCAGGTGCTATCACAAAAAATAATTATGAAAAACTTCAAGGGCTTTGGAATTTCACACCGGGACCAATAACAAGTCAACAAGTGTCAAATAATACAGGACTATTCACTTCAAAAAGGAATAGTTAATCTTTTTACTGTGCTTACTCCCTCTCCTTCCATAGACCAGACCTTCAAGTTGCACTAAACCATGAGATTCAGAAATTGAGAAATTTCATACCTTGATACCCAACCAACAAAGGAAATGCTGCTTCAATCCATTGTCAATCTCACATAACTTGGTAATCTCTGCAACAATGCTGCCATATACTTGAGATGGAATTGTCCAATAGGCTAACATAGTATGAATTTAATTAGGAGTTCTATCTTAGTTGCTAGACACTGAAGTGCCCTTCAGTGTTATGGTTGTCACTTTTCTTCGAATTTCCAACAATCTTTCCCCTGAAAAAAAATGAAAAAATGAAAACTTCTGAAGAAAGAGTTAAGCCACAATTTTTCCCCCTCACCCCCTGGAGATTATAAATTGTACATAGTTGAAATGGACAACACAACCTCCTATAACTACCAGAAGTAGCAGATTCCTACTCTACAAAAGCCTCAAGGAAAATGGAAATGGAGGCACCCCTCTGATTTATTCAAAATATTGTAGCAACTTTCTTCAGTTGCACAGTCAATAAAGATATTTTATAACAGGCCCACCAATACTCCCATTGCAATAGCTGAGATCTCATAGAGCAAGTGCTCTTATAAGCTTTCCAATTAGGACGGAATTGACAAAAACCAGTCAGATGCTTGTTGTGCAGACATAAAAGGACAAAAACAAATAAATTATTTGTCGCCCATGAAAATAGTACTGGTGCAGCAGCATCAGAATCAGCACTAAGGCTTATGTAAGCTTTCCTGAGTATGACCCAATCCAAGTTCCTCCTTTTGCTGAAAACTTAATTGGCTGGGTTGGATTAACTGATCAATGCAATTAGTCAATGCTCTGCTCCATTGATGGAGCAATAGCCTCCAATCAGGCCAAGAGACCCAATAGTTTGGCAAAAAGAAGCCTGAAGGGCAGCGATGATCTCTGGGTCTTCAGTGCGGGATAGAAGCAGAACTTTCTCCTCCAGAAACCTGCATAGGAAAAAATCAAAGGGATAGTGATGGGTTGATTCAAACCCATATGCATCTTGCAGAGAGACACATGAGCAAGCCTGTACTTGAGAGATCCCAGGTAAAATACATGACTGTATCATTCAGGAACTCACCGCTTCGGACCAAGAAACAAGCTCTCATTCGGGAGATGAAAAGGCTTTTCAGGGGAATGTTTCACATAGAAGTGAACACTCTGCAGAGGGTTTTCTTGCTTCATCCCAAAATCTACCACAATGCCCCTGAGACAGTAGTGCTCATCACTCACAAAACTGGGTAACCTGGCATGAAGAGATTCTTCAAACTCCTTCCAGGAATCATAAGCCTGGAATCAGCAACAAATGCAAGATATTTTCTTGATGTCATCTGTGGCCATACAATAGCTGTATTTTGTCTCATTCAAAGCATCAACCTATCAGCAAGACAAAAACAATTCTCATAAGGAGTAATGGCAGAAGCAATGCCTACCTTGTTTGCACTATCTTCAGAAAAACTTGCTTCCCCAACGACAACATACAATCTTCTCTGCTGAATGCGTTGGAGTACATTAATAGCTGCCTGCAGTGCAGAGTCTTTGCTATAGAGTATCCTACAGAAAATGGAGTCATCAAGCTGCACAAAGGCTTCTGGTGAGAGACACGCAGATGCCAGGGACCAGGGTCTCCTGCAACAAAAATATAATCAGGCTGTTGAGCCAATACAGCAACACAGTATGCAAACATGGGACACCAGGGCATGTTGCTTACCCTGAGAGATCAAATAGTGTGAATGAGTCATTTGCCTTCAGCATAGCATCTATGAACCTGTACAAAAAGATCAGCTATTCAACCAGTCTTACACTAAAGAAGCTCAGTCTCCATGATAAATAACTGCCCATAAACATATATCCATTCAAGAAGAGGGGAATCTCTAGCAAGAAGTGTGAAAAGGACAGAAAGAAGACAAACAATAATCTATCATTTTTAACCTTTATGGTTAAGCATATAAATGTATAGCATAATATGAAATATTCAGTGAGGCAATCTAAGTTAAGTAAAACAGGTTTGAAAATATATTGCATGCTTTTTGGAGTGAAAGGTATGGGATGGAGAGCTTTGCCAGAAAAAGCAAGCCATTCAGCAATCTAGACTGAGAAGACTGGTTAACATTATTCTGCAAAAAAAATTTTAGTGAACCATGTAAAAGCAGGTTATGAAAAGGATTAATTGACTGAAATAAGTGCCTTCACTTTTGGCCACATATTTGATGCTTTGAATGAATAGCAGCAGTAAATGAAGCCTTACATGCATTCTAGGATACAGTTCACTTTGTGCTGATATGCCCTTCTATGTAATTGAGCTCTTTGGTAAAACATGTCTTGAAGGTTGTTGGCCTCTTTCTCTCTGAAACATATCTGCCAACCTTGACCAGGAATAAACAAGGCACGTGCAAATTTCATCATCCGTTCATGGTTGAATGTGTTCTTGATACCCAGGTGATATGAATCTCGAAGAAAGTAATCACACTTGTCCACATCTATCCCATTCCTCTTGTTGGCAACAATCTGCAAAGGAATGGAATTCCCAAATAAGACAAACTAACATTTGTATACCAAGGAGACATTTCATGGCTCTCCATAGGCATACATAAATTATCTCTGAAAAGCCAAAGGGTAAAATTCACACATAGTAGTTCATTTAGTAGGCCTACCAGGACATTTCATTAGGTGCAACCTTTTTGTTTGCATGCCTTTCTATGAAACTCCCTTTCAAACAAGACCAAATTTATGAAGTAGAACATGCTACCCTTCACAAACTATAAATAGCCACAGTATAAAGAAGTAAATATAACTTACATCCCAAAGGAAGCCCTTCTGATTCCAAAATGGATGAATTCCCTTATCAGTCATCTTGTTCCCATTAATGAGACACTTGATGAAGGAGATGTGGACCTCACTTAGACCAAACTGGAGGAATTCTCCCTTCAAGGAATACTTGTCAATGATGTATTGCAACAACTTTGTACTCATGTCTTCATGCTGTCAGAGAAAATACACAGGGAAAAACAATTTCTCATTCAATCAGGACATCTCCACCAACTTCACAAATCATCTATTTGTAAGGTGAGCTCACCTGCCAAGATATTCCAGTAGCTTGAACAAATCTCTCCCAAGTGTGAGAGAATGGACCATGTCCCAGATCGTGACAAAGCCCAGCAATCTCTACGCACAGGAGATCTTCTGATGTGAGGGGGAGATCTGGCTGGTGCCTCTTCAGCTCCTCAGTCATCTTACGTGCCAAGAAGCCAGTTCTGGATAAACCAACCATCAGGTGTGAATTATTACTATGTATATCATCAATTTCAGAGGCAGGCTAACAGGAAGCCTCTAAACTTTTGTCTCTCTACATCTAATTTATACAGTCTCCTAATGGTGGCATTCAGTGTATAAAAACGTTTGCAACTTGGTCAGTCTACCAAATTATGTTTACGGAAGGTCATCATTCCTATAATTCAACAAGTCTAGTGTGATATGATTGTAACTTTTCCAATAAAATATAATCCTGTGTTATATAAACTTGTTTACCTCTAAATTCACATTAGATGTGAAGGGATTTGAAGGATACCAGAATTTCGGTAATGACCCTCCCTCCCCCGCTCATTTATTGGACCACCTTTCACAGTCCAGAGCTTCAACAGTGAGCCAATTAAATACATAGGCTACGGGCCAACATCAACTGCACGACCTTCATTTCTAAAAATAACTTGAGGCTCACCCAAGGCTGTGCTCGAATCTGTTGTGACATGCTCCAGGAAACACCCAGTAGCAGAACCCAGTCTGCTTTAGGTTTCTCAACCTTTGGAATTCTGGAGTGTCGATGATTCGGGCACACAGAGAGTGGATGGTCATGAGACCGTGGATGCAATCATGGAAGACTTTGTAATCATCCATTACAAAAAATATCCTGAAGTCAAGCGCTGGAAGGTAAGATGGTTTCACATTTGACTAGCCCCACATCGAGATTCGGGGGAGAAAAGAGGAGAAACTTGAGAGGCAAGGGAAACCAGGAGGCTGCCATCTTGCCACTGGCGGAGCTGTCACGGAATCGCCGACTTCTCCATGCCCCAATTGTATTGCCTGCAGAAGTTTGCAAATGAATTGGTTGTTTCATACCAAATTTTACATTGTGCACTTTCAACTCCGTGGAACAACAAAGGAGGAAAGGACATGCATCCGATAGTAGAAAAAAACATTAGGCCTATGGAGTCCCAAGTAGAACGAATTTCCATTCGAAAATCTCTCGTGAAAAAATCGAGTTGAGATGGCGCTAGTGTACGCCTTCTTTTCGGATTGAATTAGTACCCCTCCATGGGAGCGCTTCCATCGATCGCAGGCAGTGGCATCCTCCAGAATGGAGATTTTTTTAAATATCTAATGAAGCGGATCCCATTATTTGGGGCCTTCTCCATTTATCGACTTCTCAGGGAGGGTATTCTAAAAGACCGTATCCTCAGCAGTACACACACTATCACCACCTCTCCTTTGAACTTCGAATGATCTTCAGCCATTCAACCACGGCAAGCCGAATGATCCCGGTGCAAACGAAAGGAAGGTGTCGAAGCGTGCTGGGCCTCAACCGTCTCATCTTTGGCTATCGCGGACCGAAGTATCCGTTGTGCATCCGAGGATTTCACGAGGTGACGTTCTTTCATCTACTTTATGCATCTTTAGGATCGTGTGTAGTCAATTCAACGGTTTTATCGAGAGATCGCGCCGTTTCATTCGGGAAGGCCCGAGAAAAACCCTCTCAACAATGCATGGCTACCATCGAAATACAACTCCCGACCAAGAAGTCGGTCGGGTCTCATGCGACACATGTTGGAGTGAAACCATTCGATTCAAACGATATCGGGAACTCGGTCGTAGAGGAAGCAGCCATGTTTCGGAGCCTGGATGAGAGGTCTGACTCGGATTATCGTAACTGATTTCAATATTAATATATTTTTTTAAATTGAAGCTCGTACAACAGGATTTTTTAACTACACCTTACACATAACCTCAAGCCACAGGAGATTTGCAATTGAAGAAACTCCAGGTCCACTGTTCCTATCGCGGATTTTTCGAGGGCCACGCTTTCGACACTTCCAAGTCGTTAACCACTCGAGTGGCGTCGTGTCAGTTGCCACGAGAGCGACCGGGACCGCGAGGAATCCCGTTCGAATCACGAAAACACTGAACGAAAATTTCCCAGGCTTTTCTCGGGTAGGGCCCCTCGATGCCGTGGGAGGGATTGAAGGATCGAAGGATCCCGAGGTCGGCTTCGGTGTCGATTCTCATCGACAGCAGATCCAGGGATGACTCAGCGTGAAAAAATGTTGCATCTAAGTCTCGCGTTGCAAGTCTTCGTGTTTAACTCGTGTTTCCTCTTCCCTTCGCCGAGTCTCGTCTTTCAACGCAACACTGCTCGCCTTACGAAGTCCAACCTTGACAGGATTGGCCATCCAGCAACCGGGCAGTCGAACAACGGCGTGCGATGCAAGAGATTCATGAGGAAAAGGGGCGGGTGGGGGGGGGGGGGCCGTGAAGGGCAAAGAGGAATGTGAGAACCAAGGATTCTTATCGTATCCATTCTCTGTCAGGGAAAGGGACGGGAAGTCGGGGTACAACCATACTGTTTTTTTCATACCTGTTATATAACCTGTATAACCAGAGTGGTCCAAGAAATGTTATCACAAACTGGGAACAAGCAATGTAAGTTCAACATATAAGATCGTACTTTATTACCTAGTTTTAAATAGATAATTAAATTAATTAAATTACATGTATTAGCGTACATTTAAACGAGGACGTAACCATAAAGACAATGGCATTGAAACTGAATTTGGAATTTAAATTTGAAACTACCGTACCGATATTTTCCCAATACAGTGGTAACATTTCTTGGACCACTCTGGTTATACAGGTTATATAACAGGTATGAAAAAAACAGTATGGTTGTACCCCGACTTCCCGTCCCTTTCCCTGACAGAGAATGGATACGATAAGAATCCTTGGTTCTCACATTCCTCTTTGCCCTTCACGGCCCCCCCCCCCCCCCCCTACCGACCCCCCCCCCCCCCCCCCCACAATCCCCCTAAGTGTTGAGCACGCCCTTAACCCCACACTCCAACCCCCAGCCCCCCAACCTCGACGTTTCTGCTCCTAGATCACTCCTCGTTCAAAAATTCTAGACGTGCATCTGAGTGGGCGGATATGTCAAACTGTACAAGGTTTTCATATCTGCCTCAGAGGTGTCTTGTTAGAAGGTGGAACTACCACTTAGGCTATCTTCACTAAACTGCACCGCAATCATCAATGAATTCTCTAATCCTGTATCTGTAGAGTTAGATTTGTACATATTTGAGATCATAGGAATCCTAAAGCTCTTATCTCGTTTCATTCCTCCCATGCAGAAATAAACTAACCAACAAATTTTATCTCCCAAGCATTCGACAAAAAAAAAAGCTCATATATAAAAATAAAAAATCGGCAAAGGCGCTTCCCACACGTCCACAAAGCATAGGTATAGACTCGTCCATAGGGCAGTGGTAACCCTACCTCAAACACGCGTGGAAAGAGACCACGAACCACCGAGCTACGGGAAAAAGAGCCGACACGATGGACGCCTGGACTCCACTGCTCCTCCCGCACAACCCTCTTCCCCGTCCCCGCGAACCCGCACACCTGGACGCACCTCCCACACATCCACATGCACGCACTCGCTCCTGCATTCGCTTTGCAAACACTCACCCTCCCCATTCCCCCGATCCTCGCGAGACGCCCGGCAGCACCACGTCGCAGAGAGCCGGTACTGAGAGGGCGTGTCTGATTCCTCTCGTGTTCGCGGTGCATTCCGAGGTATTTTCCGGTGAAGGAACCGACACAGTTGCTTCCGTTTCGACATGAGCGTTGTCGGTAAGTCTCTCTGCGAAGTTATTTCATGTTTGTTTTGCATTTCTCGTGGAGTCAATGAACCTCGACGCGGAAGAACGCCGTCACGTGACACAACGCATCTGGCGGAATTGCATCCTTCGCCGTGCGAACTTGACCGAAAACCCCAATTGGATAAAATTAGACCGCTAGACGATTGGATTCCTTCTCTCTCCCCCCCCCATGTTTAGATTTCCAACCCGGTCCCACGACTGCCTTGCCTCTCCCACCGCTTCCACTTCGTGAGTCATCCCCGATAATCTCAGAAGAAAAATAATTTTAAAAAGGAAGAAAAGAAATGATGAAACATCGGAAGCCGATGACGCAACCACAGTGGAATGCCCTTCTCAAGCCTCCACGGACTTGAACTCCCCCCATGGGGGGGGGGGCCCACGTCGCTGACTGTCAAGGTCGTGCAATCCCCTCCCTCCACTCCCTCTCAGCCGGCCGAATGGAACATGAGCAGCGCCCGCTTCGCCCGTCCGATTTGCAGCAAACACACGACAGAGCGTCCGGTCGGCGTGCCAAGGCGATCTGGGTTATCTGCTCGAGACTAAGGCTTCGAAGGCCTCTCCCCCTGCGACCGCCTAGTCACCGGCTTCCTTCTCGCATTAAAAAAAATATGCATCTCGGGTTAAAAATATATCTCTAAATCCGTTCCCCCGGCCATATGCAATCTCTTTTTGGCACTTCCCGTCTCAATGGAGATTGTGAGAGGCAACCCCATCACCTAAGCAACCCAAACCATCCGCATTAGTATGCGAATTCCTCCTCCCCCTCCCCCCTCCCCAATCGCCCGAGGCGTTCGGAACCGCGGGTACTCCCTGCAGTGGAGGCATTTCTCTCTTGGTCATGGAATCGTTTTCGCGACCGGCAACAGCCGAACTCGATTTCTGATGAGTCAACGGATGAGAAAGGAGTTTATCATTGTTTCGTATTGTTAAAGTTAAATTCCCCCATCGCGTTCGTGGAACAGCTACTGTCACAACCGGGCAGCACAAAGCGGCACGAATAAGGCTGCGCCTGCAGCGTTTGCAGAGCCTTCGCAACTCCATAGCGGGATTCGAACCACCAGCGACTCACTCGACCCCGAGTCCGAGCCAGGGACAAGAGCCAGACGGACACGAGACGACCCTGCATCCAGCCGATCGGATGATGTCTGAACGATTCCTCTCCCACTTTCTCGTGACCTCCAGGGAAGTACAAGAAGGTGGGACGGTGGGTGGAGGCGAGCCACGGCCACTTCCCGGACGGAGCCGTGGAGGGCGGGATGACGGCCGACGGCGAGAAGCTCTACGTGGCCCGGACCGAGCACAAGGGCGACCTCCTGCCCGGCAAGCTCCACCCGTCAAATTCCGTCTGCTATGTCACGTATGCCGGGGCGGAGCATCACAAGGATACCTATCATGTGAGAGATTGACGCCTGCTACATACATTTTTTTTCTCGAGAGCAAGATGTGACAAATGCAATTTGGAGTTGTATATGTTTTCGTCACTGGTAAAGTTAACGCCAGATCGCAACTGTCAAAACCTCTCTGATGATAGGTGGTGGACGGAGAGGGAGTAGGGACCTCGGTTTGCAAAGCTATACTGTAGCAAATAATGCTGTATATAAAAACTTTAAATTCATTTTTACTATTTTTAAATTATTCCAGAGGAAATTTTTACTACTTGTTAAGGGTAAAATGTAATTAAAGAACGACTTAAATTGCAATGTAAGAATCACATATGCTTCTACCAACGGTGAATGGCATTTGGAGGCTGATCGGTCATGTGTTGTGCCTCGAGAACGGACCTGATTCTCTTTGCAACGGCGAAACGAAAGGAATTTTATTTTTTTTTTAAATTATTTTTTCTTTATTTTCTGTCGGACATCCTCAGGTGCTGGTGAATCCCGCCAAGAGCAACCTGGACTGGGTGGCGGCATCCGGGGGATCGGTCCCGGCGGGGGCCCTGCAGGGAGGACGCACGGCCGAGGGAGAGGCGCTCTTCATCGGCAGGTGCAAGCACCAGGAGCATCTCCTTTGCGGCAAGGCAAGTCGCGAGCATCGGTTTCGTCCCAGGGGGAGGTGGAGAGGGAGAGAGTTTCGTTGAGTTGTCCTTTTTGATCTATGCCCTCACGGAAAGTTGTGAGCTGTTAAATTTAGTAGACCTTTGAATTGGCGCCGAAAAACGTCAAAAGATGTTACGTATCACATGGATTTTCCCAACATTCATTATTACTCCTTGGATGCGCTTTTTTTTTTCACCTCATCGCTCATATCCTTCTCTGAAGCGTTCTTTGAATTGCCACCTTAACCATTTGTTGGCAGCCATTTCAAAGTCCATTCCGCCGTCATATCGATTTCGTGAAGGTCATATTTCGATTTGGCGAACGGAGAAAAATCGCTGGGGTCCAAGGACGGGGAGGATCCGGTCGAACATGACGCCCCGATTCGTGAATTCGTGGAGCGAACGGGTCGCCGTCCACCCGATGCCTCGCGGCGACTTCTTCGATGCCCTAGGAGGTTTCGTTCAGGAATTGAGGAGCGGGGTTCAGGCCACACCAGACTCGGACTCCGGCGATTTCTTATCGTGTTGCAAGGTGACCCTGGAACGCGATGGAGAGGGTTTGGATCGTGCTAACAAATCGAGGGGAAACCGAACGAATGATCCAAAGAGGGGAATGAGAAATGGGTGAAAAGATTTTAAAAGCAAAAACCAAAAAAACGTGGGGCTCTCCATTTCATCTTCGCGGTATCGTATCGATGGCATCGCGTCGACGACAGAGTGGCACTTGGACCGCGAGTCCCCGCCGAGATTGGCCATCGACTGGACCCCGATTAAGAAACCGGCGGCTAGGATACTTGACGTGCACGCTCGTGGTCACGACTTTGGTTGTTCCTCTTAGGTGCACCCGAGACACGGGGTGTGTTACATCCCTTACGCCGGAGGAGAGCATCCGCACGGTGACTACGAAGTCCTCGTGGTGAAGACCGTCGACCTCAAGTGATCTCGACGATCCATCTGGTCGCGCCATCTATACATACTACACCTTTCGTGTGCCACGGACCTGAGTCGTCGCATTTGAAGACGCGTGTTTGTTGTATGCATATACTGGTGTCGTCCTGCTGCCACGTGTGATGATTCCTCTATTCCGAGGGTGGAAGGTCATCGAAAGGGTGGAATCCTCACTTAGTGTCATTGTATCCCGAGCTTGTATTGGTTGTACTGAACAGAGGATCTTACTGTCTGTATTCCATGTTGTCATAATTAATACATCACATGAGTTGCACATTCCTGGACGTCATTTCCTTCTGGTGGATTAACGACTGCAACCAGAGAAGAGACAGTCTAGGTGACACCGATGACCGTTTCTCCCCTTCTAGCGGCACTGGCTCGGCGGAAGGGGACAGGCTTGCAGTTGTTCCTTTTGTGTCGAACGGAGGGTAAGACTTTTTTTTATTGTTATAAAGTTTTAAGGAATTTATTATTATCATCTTAGGTTCTAAGATTCAGAGACAGGCCAAGCGAAGCCGCCTCCCCAGACGGCTTGGCCTATCATCGCTGTCCAACAGGAGCGAGTTGATGGCGGGGACAAACTTTCCTGGGCCTCGCGTTTCAAGGGGCTCCAAAGGGCCTTGAATGGGCCTGAGGTTTTGTTTCGCACGGGGCCTCTGGAGACCTCTGGGTTGCCTTGCCAAGTGGAGGGCGGAAAGGGAAGACGGGAGGACTCGTTGACACACTGGCGCTCCCCGATTTGTCGCGTCATACCTGAAAGTGGATGGCGGGATACGGTTTTATTCTAGGGGGGAGAATAGAAAATGGGCTGGAAAATCTTTTTCACTTCGAAGAATTGCTGTGTTCTTTAATCGCATTCATCTTCATTTTCGATGCCTTTTCTAAAGTCGCCCGATTGCTCGAACAGAACACTCACTGGGTCCCGGCTCGCGTGGGGCGCATCGGCCGACAGGCTTCGGAGGTTGCCAACGGTTCCGGGCTGAAGGATGCAAAAGACCCTTCTTTGAACTCCATTAGTCGCGTGCAGCGGGTCTCGAAAGGTGTCGCGAGCTCGCTACCCTCGTTAAACTCGGTCTCTCAAACGCATCAGTCGTCGTCGAGGGAAAGCATTCCGAGAAAAAAAGAACTACCTCGACGTCTCCTGGATAATGGACCCAATTGCGGCGGGAACAACACTGAAAAAAAAAAATCGGTACCAAGTCCATGTCCGAGCAGAACGTCACTGTTGGACAAAAAAAGAAATTGTCTTCGGATTTCCCTGTAGCGGTATTTTGCAATTGCTGTTTGAACCGTGTCGATCCTCTATCCCGTCGACATTCTTCTGCACCAACAGCGATTCACGTTAGAAACGTTCCAGAGTTTTTGCAGAAGGAGAAACCAAGCTATAGAATCAGCTGGGGTTTTTGCAGCAACAGGTGCCAGAGACTCCTCCAGATGAGTCTCAAACGTGAAAGTTATCGTCTTTATAATTCCAGCTGTCGATGCAGGCAGCTTCTCCAATATGACGAATACGATATTGCCTTCTGCAAATTGATTTTCAATGACTACATATATATCATTTCCAATAAGTCCAAAGATGCCGCGAGAAGACGCCAAATTCTCCCGACTGAGAGATTTAAGTGAATATGCTAAAATGAGCAGTTCGTGCAAGTTTTGTAATGCGTATGTGTGTAGTATGTTGCTTTTGATATGTGAATTATCATTTACTGAAATTTCGTCAACTCAAATGGTTTCTTCCCTCTGCTTTTAACTTGGAGTCGTCGAGAGTAGACCCTCCCAATCCGAAAACAATCCAGAAATAGTGGGCGAATTCCAGCCATCCTCCTTCGAGGTGCTAGAATTCAAGGGGGCCTCGCCTGCGGTAAGGACTCGAATCGTTTCCACTTCGCCGCGCTTTTTTTTTTTTTGGTGAGTCGACGGAAGAGGGTCGGAGATATTCCCTTCTCTTCTGTTGTCCGATGATACAATTTCTTTTAAGAAAGCAGACCGTCGTATCGGTGGGAAAGCCGCCGAGATGACCCAGCATCCCGTCTCCCCTCTCGCGGCACCCAGGGAAGTACAAACGGAAGTTACGATGAATTTCCAAATGCACGTAAGAGGATCCATGGCAGACGAGAGGAATCGTAAGTAGATGGGGACCTGCCGCAGCAGTGATCGTCGCGATCACTCGAGATCCCCGGTCTTAACTCCAAGGGCTTCGTAGTCCTCCTGCGGATGCTCTCCCCCAGGGTACGGGATGTAACACACCCCGTGGCGTACAGGATGTAACACACCCCGTGGCTCGGGTGCACTTAAAGGGAACAACCAAAGTCGCGTCCACGAGCGTGCACGTCAGGCACTGGCGTAGCGTCAGGCTTCCCCGATTTTCCTTCTTAACTTTTTGCGTGGAATCCTTGGAAGGGAATTTTTGTTTGGGGTCCGTTCGTTGCATAGAACGAGTGGACCATGGGGGTTCCCAGTTATCTCAAATGCATATGGAGGTAGTGTTCAAATGAATTATTTTTTTTTAAACATTCTTGAAAACAATTGGGAAATATGCGTTTACTATTATTAATATTATTGTCTAATACTGTATTGCCCTTTAAGTTGTTTTCCAATAAAATTTTCTGGTAACACAAATAATTTTGAATTCCGTTCCTGAAGAATGGCTTTCACCAGTTATAATGACTATGATACGAGGAGCAATTACGTACAGCATTAATCCCTAAAGCAAACAGATAGAGACCGAGCCCCCCTGCCCCCTCAACGGAAAACGGAAGCGAACGGGTATGATTCATCAGACTGATCTCCTTTCGTTGACTCACAGAAATCGAGCGCGGCAGTCGCAGGGAGGGGAAACGACGGCAGTTGCTGGGAGGGGAAAGCGACTCTCCCTCCGAAATATTCCTGTTGCTCGGGGCGTTGCCGCTGTTGTCGCCGCCTGTCGCTCTCCTCGTCGACGACCCGCAGCGACACCGAAGAGAATTCTCACTCGACCTGAGGGGAATCGGATTCGGAGATGCTGTCGATTCTCGGTGAGTCCAAGTTAAACGGACGGGGCTCGCGAAAAACTCGGGTCGGGAGGATTCGCTCGCTCTACAACACGGTACACACCAAGGACATGAATTCAATGTTGAAAAACCTAGTACGCCAACTCATTTTCGCATACTCACTTGAATACGTCGGTCAGGGGCGTTCTGCGTTTTGGTGGTGGTGCCTCCACCTACACCCTCCTTCCAATTCCCTGGGTGTGCCGCTGGAGGGGAGATGGGATGCTGGGTCATCTCGGCCCTGTCGTGGCGGCAGCTTTCCCACCATGACGATGGTCTGATTTATTTTATCTTTTTAAAGCAATTCTACTAGCGAATCGAATCGACAGAAGGGAGAGACTCATTAGACTATCTCCTTCCTCTTCCGTTGACTCATCCGAATCAGAGCGCAGCGAAGTGGAAGTGATTCGATTGTGAAACGCCGCTAGATGTCAGGGGAGATGGAAGGCCTCAACGGGGCGGGGCGGGGCGGGGCGGGGCGGGGCGGGGCGGGGCGGGGCGGGGATTCCATACAAGGACATCCAATGGAAGACCAAAAGAAGTTGTCCGTGGACGAGTTTTGGATCACCCATGGCTTCTTGGGTAGTGGCATATACACACACGCAGCATGTTTACGTAAACAAGATATCAATTTCTTGCAATGTGCATTTCTTGTGATTGCGTGAAAAGGACATCACGTTTGCGTAAAATTTACGTTCCTATTTTTAGGGCACCAAAGTCTACGTGTATTTTACATAAACTCGATATCACTCCAACTGACGTGAAGGACATATCAAGATCATGCAAAGTTAACATCACACTTTCCATATGAAACTTTAGCTGATCATCCCGTAGTTGCAATACCAAGATTCCTCACTAGATGGAACCCTTGTTCCTTGCATCCTACTAATGCCATTAAGTACTGGTTTTCCCGAATATAGTATCAGGTTTTATTACCATCCTTCCACTTTTTATTATGCAATCCAATAATATATATATATGGAAAGCAGGAAATTTTTCATATTTTAAATAATACACGACTCTGGGAATCATTAAATGTTGAAGCTAAGCTTGCTATTACAGCGGTGTACGGAATCAGGGAAGAGTAGAATCCCACGCTCCCCACTCATAGGCTGGTTACGTGGTGACGTACTCGGTCGCATCAGAGCATGGCGGTGTTTGCAATGTCTTTTCCCGTTAGACGAAATTGCGCAGTTCTTGTAAGTATATCTGGTTGTAAGCATCATTGTAGATCAGTTGCCAGGCGAAAGGAAAAAATGGAATCAAGTCTTCCATAGGCCTAGCTCTAGTCTCATTGCAGAAAATCTTTGAAAGTGCAAGAGTTTCTCCACATCATCCCAGTCTCACATCAGATGCTCAACCTCTGCAGTAACTCCCATTTCTTCATAACAACTCTTACCCAACTTCTAAATATATTCATTCGGCATTCCACTGTCCTACAATGGTTCTATTAGGTTGTTCCGAAATAAATGTCCGATTTTCGAAGTGTAATGTTTTGTCTATCATTATACCTGTCAATTTTGCGATAACCAGTTATTGTTATATACCGTTTTTTTTCAGCAAACCTTTCTCTATGTAAGCCACTTAGTTGCTTTTTATTTATCTTTAGCCTAACGTTCCTGTAGCTGCCAAAGCGAACGATGGAGAAACGCAACTTTCGTCCGATTTTTCTTTACGAGTTCAAACTTGGAACTAATGCTGCCGAAACGGCGAATAAAATCAACACTGCGTTCGGCCAAGGATCGGTCACGGATCGCACCATTCGACGCTGGTTCGAAAAGTTTCGTAACGGAGATGAGACTCTCGAAGAACAGGAAGGTAGAGGTCGGAAAGAGTCTCTTGACGACGCCGTTCTGAAGACTATGGTGGAACGTGATCCCCATGTAACGGTCCGAGAGCTTGCGGAAGAATTGTCTGTTGGCATCGCAACCGTTTCCCGTCATCTGAACGACATTGGAAAGACGAAGAAGATGGACAAATGGGTTCCGCACGAACTCACCGCGAGTAATCGCACTCGCCGATACGAGATCAGCTCCGCATTGCTTCTACGCAACACAAACGACCCTTTTCTCGACCGTATTGTTACGTGCGACGAAAAGTGGCTCCTGTACGACAATCGTAAACGATCGGCGCAGTGGCTGGACCGAGATGAGCCTCCCAAGCACTTCCCAAAGCCAAGCGCTCACCCGAAGAAGACTATGGTCACTGTATGGTGGACTTCAACAGGAGTGGTGCACTACCACTTTCTGAAACCTGGTGAAACAATCACAGCGGAGAAGTACTGTGACGAACTGGACACGATGCACGAGAAACTTCGCAAACTTCAGCCTGCATTGGTCAACCGAAGGGGGCCGATTCTGCTGCACGACAACGCCCGACCGCATGTCGCACATCTCACCTTACGCAAATTGAATCAGCTGGGCTACGAAACTCTGCCTCATCCACCATACTCCCCAGACATATCACCTACGGATTACCACTTTTTCAAACACCTGGATCACTTCGTCAAGGAGAAACACTTCCATGATCAGACCTCTGCCGAAGATGCCTTTAAGGATTTCATCGCCTCCAGAACCCAGGATTTCTACTCGACTGGGATCAACAAGCTTGTATCTTGTTGGCAGAAGTGTGTTGAAGCGGATGGTGCTTACTTCGATTAAAAATGTTCATTATCAGCTGAGTTACGACCCTTCAAAGTTTGCGATCGAATTCGGACATTTATTTTGGAACAACCTAATAAATTGCTAGGATAATTCCACTCCATAAGAAAGACAACATGCAAGAACCCCTCAACTACAGGCCTACCTCAATCTTTCATTTCTAAAATACTTGAGCATCGCATTGCCAGCTCCACCTATTCCTTACTCTCTGATTAAAGCCTCCTGCATCCCAACCAATATGGCTTCAGACCACACCATTGTTACCAAACAGCCCACATCAAATTCTGTGATGATGTGTTAAGAAACATGGTCAATGGAAACCTAACTGAAGCAGTATTCCTTGACCTCTGAAAAGCATTTGACTCAGTCCCCCATGACAGGCTCCTAACTAAATTACCTCATTATAACATAACTCCCTCACTTTCTAAAACCTATCTCTGGGGTTGGTTTCAATTCATAAAAAAAAAAACAGATCTTCAGCAATCCACCCTACCTTCCTCATTGGTGTCCCCTACACACTTATCAATCACCCTGAACAAACAAAAAGCTTACTGCATATACAAAATCTACCTAAACTGCTCCAAGTTACCTCTCCCCATATCTCTCTCTCCCAACCAGGAAATTCCACACACTATCTCCACTCCCTCAAATCCATGAAGTCATGCCTCCCACAAACCTTCACAAAAACATCCCAGAAAAACCTAAGGTAATGGGGCATCAAGCATTGGAATTCCCATCTTCTTAATCAATTAAGGTGTTCCCCCACTCTACCTAGATTTAAAATTGACCTCAAAGAATGCTTACTAGCACAATACCTACTATAATTACTTCACCAAATCCCATCGCTTTTATTATGCTCTACTCATTTTTTTCGCTCCCCTCTGCTGGACACACCCCACAGATTTTTTCTCTTACCCCACGCATTTATACACAACATTTCTCCTGCATAGGGTTATGTGGCCCTTCCCACTTCTCTGTTTTCTTTTTTTTTCCTGTTTCCTTTGCATAGTTTTATATATTGTCTTACCATATCTGAAATGCATTAAATTGTTAAATTGTCTATGTGTACTCCTATGTGTACTCCTAAGTACTTGCTGTTCATCCTTCCTAATATGTTTGATGCCTCTCCTGCCCACAAAGCAATCGAGCTATCAGTTAAGCTTCTGTATAGCCTACTAACTTGGACAATAAATCAGGTATGGGAAGTCCAACGTTGGGTCTAGGCCTGACGAGGGGGCGGATATGTCAAACTGTAAAACGGTTTCATATTTGCCTCAGAGGAGTCTTGTGAGAAGGTGGAACTACCACTTAGTCTCCCTTCACTAAACTGCACCCCAAGCATCGATGGATTCTCTTATCCACTATCTATGGAGTCAGAATGGCACATATGTTGGATCAGGGGAATCCCAAGGCTCTTATCTCGTTTCATTCCTCCCATGCAGAAATAAACGAAGAACAAATTTTATATCCCAATTATTCCACAAACAAAAAAAATAGTGGGAGCTCATATATGTAGAGGCGCTTCCCACTCGTCCACATGCCAAGCACTGCCCGACCTGAAACACGCATGGCCACGAACCACCGCGTTACGGGAACACGGCCGACACGACGGACGCCTGGACTCAACTGCTCCTCCCGCACGACCTTCTTCCCCGTCCCCGCGGAGACGCACACCCATATGCACGTACTCGCTCCTGCATTCGCATAGAAACACCCTCCCCATTCCCCCGATCCTCGCGAGACGCCCGGCAGCACCACGTCGCAGAGAGCCGGTACTGAGGGGGCGTGTCTGATTCCTCTCGTGTTCGCGGTGCATTCCGCGTATTTTCTGGTGAAGGAACCGACGCAGCTGCCCCGTTTTGACATGAGCGTTCTCGGTGAGTCTCCCTGCGAAGTATTTCACTTTTTTTTTTTACATTTCTCGTGGAGACAACGTACCTCGACGCAGAAGAACGCCATCACGTGACACAACGCATCCGACGGAATCGCATCCTTCGAACTTGACCGAAAAAATAATTCAGGTAAAATTAGACCGCTAGACAAATAGATTCCTTCTCTCGCCCCTCCCCAATATTTGGATTTCCAAACTGGCCCCACGACTGCCTTGCCTCTCCCACCGCTTCCACTTCGTGAGTCATCCCCAATAATTGCATGAGAAATATATATTCAAAAAATGAAGAAAATAAATAAGAGAAACTTGGGAAGCCGATGACCCAACCACAATGGATTGCCTCTCTCGAGCCTCCGCGGACACCCCCTCCCGTCTCTGACTGCCACGGTCGTGATACAAACTCTCTCCACTCAGCCGCCAGAATGGAACAAGAGCAGCGCCTGCTTCGCCCGTCCGATTCGCAGCAAACACACGACAGGGCGTCCGGTCGTCGTGATTTGGCAATCTGCTCGAGATTAAGGCTTCGAAGGCCTCTCCCCATGCGGCCGCCTAGTGACCTGCTTTTTTCTCGCATAAAAAAAGCGTCTATGTCTCTAATATAATAGAAATATATCTCTAAATCCTTTCCCTTCCCGCCATATGCAATCTCTCTTCAGCACTTCCGGTTCCCAATGGAGAGGGAGAGAGGCAACGCCATCTTCTAAAAAACTTAAACTTTCCGCATTAGTATACAAATTCACCCTTCCCTTTCCCCCACTCATTTCAGCAACCTGCAACATCCGAACTCGGTTTCTGATGAGTCAACAGATAAGAAAGGTGTTCATCGTTGTTTCTTTTTAGTAAATTTAAATTCCCACCCATCGCGTTCATGGAACAGTCACTCCCACTACCGGACAGCACAAGGCAGCACGAATAACGCTGCGCCTGCAGCGTTTCCGGAAGTCTTCGCAGCTCCATAGTGGGATTCGATTCTCCAGCGACACTCTAGACCCGAGTCCGAGCCAGGGACAAAAGCCAGACGGACACGGGGCGATCCTGCATCCAGCCGATCGGATGATGTCTCAACGATTCCTCTCCCACTCTCTCGTGACCTCCAGGGAAGTACAAGAAAGTGGCGAAATGGGTGGAGTCGAGCCACGGCCACTACCCGGACGGAGCCGTGGAGGGCGGGATGACGTCCAGTGGAGAGAAGCTCTACGTGGCCAGGGCCGAGCACAATGGCGACGTCCTGCCCGGCAAGCTCCACCCGTCCCACTCCGTCTGCTATGTCGCGCACAACGGGAAGGAGCACGGCAAGAATATTTATCAGGTAAAAGATTGACGCCTGCCACGTATTTTTTTTTCTCGAGAGCATGATGTAACGAATGGATTTGAAGTTGTATATTATTTCGTCGTGCGTTGTGTTACTTTGTGTAAAGTTAAAGCCCAATCGCATCAATCACATTTAGCAATACTCTGATGAGATGTGCTGGACGGAGAGGGAGTAGTGACCTCGATTTACAGAGCTATACTACAGAAAAAAATGCTGTATACAAAAGCTTTTCAGTCTTTTTCACTATTAAAAAAATTATTCCTTAGGAATAGAATTCTATTTTAACTACTTGTTAAGCAAAAAAAAGTAATTAAAGAACAACTTAAGTTAGCAATGTAAAATAGAAAACCCATATGTTTCTACCAGCGGTGAATGGAGGCTGATCGGTCATACTCGTATGTTGTGCCTCAAGAACGGACCTGAATGTCGTAGTAATAGAGAAACAAAAGATTATTATTATTAAAAAAATATTTGTCTCTGTTTTCTATTGAACGTCCTCAGGTGCTGGTGAATCCCGCCAGGAGCAACTTGGGCTGGGTGGCGGCCTCCAGGGGATCGGTCCCGGCAGGGACCCTACAGGGAGGACGCACGGCAAGGGGGGAGGCGCTCTTCATCGGCAGGTGCAAGCACGCGGGTGATCTCGTCTGCGGGAAGGTAAGTCGCGCGCTTCGGTTTCGTCCCGAGGGGAGGGGGAGGGAATTTCGTTGAGCTTTCCTTTTGATTTATGCCTTCACGGAAAGTGATATGTTCGAGTTAGTAGACTTTTGAATTGGCGCCAAAAGACATCAAAAGATATCATATACCGCAAGGGTTTTCCCAACATTCATTATTACTCCTTGGATGCACTTTCACTTTTTTTTTCACCTCATCGCTCATATCCTTCTCTGAAGCGTTCTTGGGGTTCCCACCTTAACTATTTGTTGGCAGCCTTTTCAAAGTCCTTTCCGCCGTCATATCGTTTCCACGAAGGTCATCTTCGATTTGGCGAACGGAGAAAAATCGCCTGGGGTCCAAGTTTGTAGGACGGGGAAGATGCGGTCCAAATTGAAGCCTCTTTTCGGGAATTCTTGGAGCGATCGGGTCGCCGTCCACCCGTGGAATGGTGCCGCGCTGCAACGTCTTCGACGTCTTTGGAGGTTTCGTTCTGGAATTGGGGAGCGGGGTTCAGGCCACACCAGACTCGGACTTTGGCGATTTCTTATCGTGTTGCAAGGTAACCCTGGAACGCGATGGAAAGGGCTTGGGTCGTGCTAACTAATCGAGGGGCAACCGAACGAATGCTACAAAAAAGGAAATGAGAAATGAGAGAAAAGGTAATAAAAGAAAGGACGTAGAGGACGAATTAATCTTTGATGACATCGCGTCGACGACAGCGTGGTACTTAGGGTGCGAGTCCCCGACCAAAATCGGCCATCGACTAGGCACCGAACGAGATGCCGGCGGCTAGGATACCTGACGTGCACGCTCGTGGACACGACTTTGGTTGTTCCCCTTAGGTGCATCCGAGCCACGGGGTGTGTTACATCCCGTACGCCGGAGGAGAGCACGGGAGCCAGAACTACGAAGTCCTCGTGGTGAAGACCGTCGACCTCAAGTGATCTCGACGATTCATTCGTTTGCGTCATCTATACATACTTGCTTTCGTGTGACACGGACCCGGGTTGTCGCATTTGGAAACGCATGTTTGTTGTATTCATTTACTGGTGGTGGATGATCATCGAAAGGGTGGAATCCTCATTTGGTGTCATTGTATCCCGAGCTTGTGTTGCCTGTACTGGATCATACTGTCTGAATTCTTTGCATGTCGTCATAAGTAATAGATCGCTTGAGTTGCACATTCCTAGACGTCTATCCCTTCTGATGGATTAACGACTGCTACCAGAGATGCTACCAGAGACGGTCATCGGTGTCTCCTACCCATGGTGAAACCGTTGATAGTCTCTCCCCTTCTAGTGGCACTGGCTTGGCAGGAGGGGACGTTCTTGCAGTTGTTTCTTTCCTGTCGAACGGATGGCGATACCTTTTTTAAAATTATTGTATCGTTTTAATGAATTTATTATTATTATTTTCGGCTCCGAGATTCAGAGACAGCCCAAACGAAGCCGTCTCCCGAGACGGCTTGGCCTGTCGAATATCCCCACGGCTGTCGCATTCGTAGACTGTTCGAGCAGTGATAGAGGCTGACCGGCCCCACGACGTGTCGCTGTCGAACGAGTGGACGGCGGGGAACAGGGAACGGAAGGGTGCATCGTGGACAATCTGCCCTCCGTTTTGCGTTTCAAGGCCCTCTAAAGGGCCTTAAATGAGCCTCCGATTAGGTTTGGCCCTGGGCCCCTGGGGCCATCTAGGCGGCCTTCCCGAGTAGAAGTCGGAAAGGGAAGACGGGAGGACTGGTGACAGTCTGACACTCCACGATTTGTCGCGTCATACCTGGAAATGGGTTGCAGGATACGGTTTTACTCAATTTTTTTTCTTGGGGGGGGGGGGGGGGGGAAGAAAAAAAAATTTTTTTCCCGT